CAATTTTCAGTTGTTGCCTGCTCTGTGTTTCCCCTCTGCTGTCCACAAACCCTCAGTAAATGTCTCCTATGCAAAGGTTCATCTCAGCTTGCTGGGACTACCACTCTGTGCCTGAAGTCCTGGTGTAATTGCTAATAGTCCCCGCTTCACCCTCAGAAGTGTCCCCTTTGGACAATATATCACATTCATTCCCTACTTAATACAAACAGCCTCATTTTCATGGCACTGTGGGGACTGAGGGACAGGAATGTAAATAGAAGCTCGACTTCCCTGTCCCCTCTCCACAGCAGCCTTGTACAGGAGGTGGGTGGGGGAGTAGAAGTGAGACCAAACAGTCTTTCCCCAAGAAAATGTGAGGAGGATGGGGTGGAATAGGTAGAGAGACAGTTACAAAAGGGGGAAGAAAAATAAAGCTTTTCTGGAATTTTCATGCATTACCAAGCAAAATTGGACAGATTAAATGTCTTTCCACTTCCCTGTGCTTGATAATACTGGTATGCAGAACATTCTATAGCACAACACCTGTAAAATTCTTCAGGGCATAAAATAATCTTAGATTTCCATAAGGATAGAATAAAACTAAACCAGCCCATCTGCAAAAAATTAAAACCAAAAAGTCCTTTAGCCTGAGCTTTAACTAAAATATACTGGACATCGATCGCTGATTTTAGATCCAATGTTCTGTTTGTTCATGTGTGTTTTTAAAATCCTGTGTGAGGAAGAACATTTTGTGATTTCTCACTTAGCATATTTTGTAAATGAAAACTAGACATTTTTACAACACCCGTCCTAAATCCACCATACATATGAAACATTTGAAGAATAATCCACTTTATTTCCAGGCATTTGAAAGACATAGCTTTGCCCTTTTTTTTCCTTTTTTTTTCCCTAAAGATGACCAGTAAGGGGATCTTAACCCTTGACTTGGTGTTGTCAGCACCACGCTCAGCCAGTGAGCGAACCGGCCATCCCTATATGGAATCCGAACCTGTGGCCTCGGTGTTATCAGCACCACACTCTCCCGAGTGAGCCACGGGCCGGCCCCTGCACCAAGTTTTGCCCTTTTTATGGCCCCAACAAATCAATGCCTAGCATACATCTCACAGGCCACCTAGATATCCCCGAGATGATGGCAACAAGAGGTGGGATGGCAGAGTGATTAGGAGGGTGGGCTGTGAGGTCAGACTCCCAATTTTGAATTCTGGTTCCGCCAACTTAGTTAAGTTCTTACCTGGAAAATGGGGATAACTTTGTAATTACCTCAGAGGGCTGTATGAGGAATCACTCTGATAGTCTGAACAAAGGACTTAGCACAGTTCCTGGCAAACAATATGTGTTCAATAAGTGCTAACTATGATGCTGATGATGCCAACAATGACAATGAAAATGATGATGACAATGATGATGGTGGTGATTAGTTGGTAGGGAGAGAGAGAGAGGAAAATTTGGGAATTTAAATATAAACTTGAAGAGAAGTAACAAAGGCATACTTTATGAAGTGGGTCCTGATTGACGGTTCACTTTTGCTACTTTACAATAATAAACCTCGGGAGCCATTCATTCATTCATCATTCCCCCTTTCATGATTGTGACAAAATTCTTCTTAAGTGTTGTCTGTCTAATAGAATGTGAATTCCTGAGGAAAGAGATATATTGACACATATTTGTAGCCTAGCCACTAGCACAGTACTTGAAATATGGAAGGTAATCAACAAATATTTATTGAGATCAGTTATGCAACAATTATTGACTGAACATCACCTGCTGTGTGACCAGCACTGACTGTGCTAATGCTAAGGACACAGGCTCGGCTCACTGGAGGAGGTCAACAGAGGAAAAAGTTGATCACACAAAGCCAGAATAGCCTCTTTTATGGGTAGGAAGAGAAAAAATCTTTTTTTTTTTTTTTTGGCCTGTCACATATAAATAAATACAAAACTTACTTCCTGCAGTGTCCACTCTTGGTAGCCTAAGGCTCAGCTGGGTACACTTACAGAATCCAGGAAGTCTCACCTGGCAGTGGCTTTGCTTGAGGAGTGGAGCAGGAAATGGCACACCAGCAGGGAGCTTGCAGGAGACCAGGGGCTAGTGTGAAGGGTCTGAGCCTCAGGTCAGAGAGGAAGGCCTGAGGACACCAGGTGGGTGCGAGGGCCTCCCTGGCCCCCACACATCAGGAACCATTTCTACTGTAGCAGTCCCTTCTGGGGCCACAGCTGCCGGGTCTCAGCAAGGGGAGTGGCCGTTAACAGTCACTGTGCTCAAGAAGCCCAAAGCAGTGCCTTCTCACCACACAGTTATAATCATTCATGGTCCTCTCAGTCCACACCACAAGCAGTGCTGCCTGGTAGCACAGCCAGCATGCACTTCCGGCAGGTTTCCAGGCAATAGGGGCTAGAAAGTTAGCCCAAGATCAGTTTTTTCATAAAGAAGGAAAAATGCTTTGTTAACCTTTTACTCACACATCCCCATTTCTGACTCCTCTGAGCTCCCCTTATGGGAGCACAAATGAGAGAGCAACATTGATTGACAACCTTCTATGGAAGAAACAAAAAAAGGTTTATCAAATTATATATAAAAGCTAAACAAAGTATATAGTGTAAAAAGTACTAAGAATTTTGTATGTGATTCCGACTATCCTAATACACAATCTTTAAAATAAAGTATATATAATTATATATATATATATATAGTCTACTCTATATTCAGTTATACATATAATTGTCAGGAGTATATAGTATGGAACCACTAGACTTATATGAATGTCATCTTTGGCTTCTGAGGATCCCTTCATGCCCCATTTTTACAGAGCATCTGGTCCTTAATAAAGAAATTAGGAAGACCTGACAATCCAAAGGCATAGCTCACCATTAAATGACAAATGAGAAAATCTGGGACAACCCACAAGTCAAAATACTGCAAGAATTTGCAGTCAAGTTCAAGCATCAGAGGCTAAGAAAAATACTGGACAATTTTTTGAAAATGAGCAAAACAAATTTTCAATGTGATACAACCCTTCCTTCTTCCTTGCCCCATCTTGCCAGGAACAGGAAGACATTCTAGCCAATCAATCCCCAAATGGTTATTAAACACCTAGTGTGTTGATAGGTACTCTGACACTGTGAAGCAAAGGGGAAAAGAAAAAATAAAGTTCCTGCATTGGAGAAATATGTCTCACTGAGGAAATAACATAGGAAAAGTTAAGCCATAAGGTACAGGAAGACTTCCAAGATGGCAGTGTTGAACAAAACAAGGCATAGACTATTGTCTATATATTTTGCTCCCATCTGTATAAAATTTGTATGGGATGTACATGTGCCTATATAGGCATGCTGTGCATGGTTATTTTTTGAATGATATACCAAAAAAATCATTGCTGGTGGAGAGTGGGTCTGGTATAGGGGGTCAGAAAGACATTTTTAATCATACACCATCTTGTAGTTTGTTTACCATGTGTATGTGTTTCTTCAATCTTTCTTTTATTGTAAATACAACAAACAAAAGTTAAGCAACACTATGGGCAGGACATCATTGCACACCAAGTGCACAAATGAGAGAGCAACATTGATTGACAACCTTCTATGGATGGGCCAAGCATAACTCCCGACCCCCTCCCAGTCACTAGCACCCTGCAGGTGTGGCTACGATGCCTCTGGCCCCTGGAAACCAGCCTGAAGCCTCACCTCCTGCTGTTCTGCCACCTCAGTCAAACCCACACTTGGCTCTGTCTCCGAGCTTTTTCTAGCATATGGAATGCAGCCAAATTTGGATGGTTTCCCAGGGAGGGTAAACAGGGTGTTGGAGATTGAGTTAAAACAACCAAATTCCTTTTTAGCAAGCCAATGGGATCAATCCAGGGCTTGTAAAGTACTACCTAAATCATTTTTACTTCCTTTGATTGCTTCTTTCATCTTGAAAACTAAAACAAACACAACCTTTCCAACTTAGATATGCTGCTTGAAGAACTATTTACCCCATGTGGAAGCCAAGTATGCATAGCTTCCGTTGTGTTCATGGAAGGAAGTACTTTCTACTAATGTCATTTTTAAATAAAACAAATGAAATGTGATTTCTATGTATATATTTTTATCAAACCCTTGTCAAATACTGCCCTCTTGTGGACTATTCAGCATATCTGTCATATCCAGTCTAGAAAACGAAATCTTAAGATCCTGTGTTTTAATAGAGAACAAAATAAATACATGCATATCTTTTGAAATTAAATATTCACCACGCAGCAATCATTTCGACTACCTCTATCTTTCACAAAATTTTGACATTATTTTGTGGTGAGTTTGAAAAAATTGACTTTTGTCATCATTTCCTTAAATATTTCAAATATGTACCTTGCTGGGAAAGTTTTACTTTATTTAACACGCAATTATATATAGTAGTTCTGTTTTCCAAAGCAGACTTGAGTTGACGTCACAGACAGCCCAACAATTTTTTTAAATGTATACTATTTCATAAAAGTTACTTCTAGAACTGCCTGGATATGCACAATAATTTTTAAGTCATTTATCAGAAACTTTTCTGCGTTTTAATATTGTTAAAGCAGAGCAACTTTTACTATATAAGGGCATTTCGGCAAGAAAGCAGTAGGGGCACCCGGGTTTGGTGTCCTCCTCTGGACATACTGGCAGCCACTTAGAAATCTCTTTCACCTTTTGCCTCATTGCCTGGAAGTCATTCATCACTTAGTTTAATACAACTGGGGAGCCAAACACATGCAGGCTGCCAAGTTCTCTAAACTTTAAAAATTATCCTTTCCAGCCCGGTCATACAGGTCATTTGTATTTACAGTACACTTTGTCCAGAATGCTTTGCCCACACCTTCACCGAGCGATTCTTAACCCTATCTGTACCTGCATGCAAGGGCTGGGGGAAGAGAGGCCCCAGGGGGTGAGCATCCTTCCGCACCTGGGGCAGAATCCCTGCATCTGTCTCCAGCTCGCCTTCCCGAGCCTCATCCCCAGACGGCTTTGACATCACACCCATGCAAGATGGGAGAAGAATACATCGGAAACCTCAACGGGCGTGCGTTTTCCACCGCGGGCCCTGCTCCAGCCACCTTTGTAAGCTGCGGTGCCCGCGTCCTGCTGCCCCGAACGGCGAGGGAGGTCCCCGGCGCCGGCGGCGCCCTCCTAGGCCCGCCCACCGGATCCTCGGGGACCTCCCTTCGCAGGAGGCGCTGTCAAGGTGAGGACACAGCAGAGCCCAGCCAGTTCCCCAAGGTGACCTTATGTCCATCTCAGCCACCGGCTACCACTCCAGATTCAGCGTTACGGCCCCTCTCTGCGCACAGTCCCCTGTGCTCCTTATGTCTCACATTTAAAATGACAAACGCATAGGTAAATACTATACTAAGACACCCTTTGTTTGAAAAGCGTGATTGTAACATCCAAGAGGGAAAGCAGAAATAACCTAGGGACAATTAAAATTCCCATAGCGTAGAGCTTTGGGGGAGATTTGGGGATGGACACACGCCAGGCCACCACCCCACCTCCCCAATGTAACGCTCCTGTTCATGCAAAGCACCTGTTATTATCACCTCTGCTGTAAAACACTCTCTCTCAACTTACAATTATCACCCCTTTCATCTTTGCTGAGGGTTTTCTCTTTGATCCAGAGGTATGTGCGACTTGTCCCCGTGACTGCCTGAAGACTCTTCAGCTGATATTTCTGCCACACTTTTTAAATCTTTTCCAAATACTGTTCCTTCTCCTGCTCACTTTTTCTTGCTGGGAGAAATATCCAGGCTGCATTTGAAACAAGTTTATTTTAAACACTAACATTTATGATAAGACAGCGTAGTCTTTTAAAAATTTAATGGATAAAGCAATGCCTTGCATAGGTTTTCCTTAGCAGAGAGGGCGAGAGAGGAGATGGGGAGAGAGGGAGGGAAGCAATGGGAGGGGGGGCGGAGAGAGATGGGGAAAGAACTTGTCTCTTGTCAGGCCACGTAGGAATAAAAGCAGAAACCCAGCGCCCTTCCTACACAATTTGTGGACCAGCTATGTAATTTGCAGGACCTAGAACAAAGTGAAAATGAGGGGCCCTTTTTCAAAATTATTAAGAATAAATGGGAGGGCGGGCGGAGAGAGATGGGGAAAGAACTTGTCTCTTGTTAGGCCACATAGGAATAAAAGCAGAAACCCAGCTCCCTTCCTACACAATTTGTGGACCAGCTATGTAATTTGCAGGACCTAGAACAAAGTGAAAGTGAGGGGCCCTTTTTCAAAATTATTAAGAATTTCAAGTGATGAACAGCAGAGCATTAAACCAAGCACAACCCCTTCTGAATACAGGGCCTTTGGACTGCACTGCACTAGTCCCACACCTGTGAAGCCTGACTGCTCTGCACTAGTCCCACACCTGTGAAGCCAGCCCTGCTTCCTATCGTAAATCAAAACAGCAGTCTTGCTGTGCTAGCTACCATTGTGGACATGGTCAGCCCCTGCTAAGGTAACCAATTTGTCCTGGTTTGCCCAAGACTATCCCACATTTAACCAGTGAAAAATCTCATGTCCGAGGTATCCCCTTAGTCCCTGGCAAATTGGGACAGTTGGGCACCACTGTCTTCTGTGTAGACCAATCCTTGTGACGAAACTGTCCTCTGATTTTTCTACTGGTCTTAATCTCTTCATCTCAGAACCAGCAGTAATTTAGGCCAAATCTGTTTTGATTATTTCATGGGGGTGCAGTGGCATTTAAATAATCTCCCAGGTGATTCTCCTAAGCATCCAGGATGGAGAACCCCTGCTCCAGCACACCGGGGGGCATGGAAGCTTTGCCTCCCAAGTTTCTCTACTCCATCTCCCCCAAATGCTATCTGTGGATTTCACGTGTCTCCTCCATCAGGTCTTGCTTCACCTTGGGCCCCCCCTCACTGTGCTGCTGGTCACCTCCTGGCCCCCCACACCTGTATTCCTTTCATAGGATCCAGCTTCTCTTTATGGGACCTGAGGGAAAGGAACCCAAGAGAGCACTTGACTGCTCAGCCTTTCTGTCTCTCCAAGATCTCTACACCTGGCTATCAAGACTGACTTTCTTTTACTGAAGGACTGGGGAAATTTTAAAAGGGAAACACAAGTAAGAAGAAAAAAATGTTAAGTTTTGGGAGTCATCTGCTCACAGACTACAGTGGAAATTGAGGCCCAAGATTTGGGGGATGTCAACAATTAAAAGCTCCATAGCAACAGAGGAGAACCAAGATGGTGAAATAGATGGCTCCCAGCATCACTCTCTCCCACAATTGACCAACTTACAACTATTAAAAACAAAAGACAGCAAAGCTGGGACCACTAGAGGTCAGGGGAAAAGGAGGAGAGACCCATGGAGTGCATGAAGGCGGGAGATGACACGATGAGAGAAAGAAAGGACTGCTCTGACCGTTTTGAACCCTGGCTGCTTCCAGGCTGAGGCTGCTGAGCACATGGAGCAGGAGCTGGCAACAGCTGCTGCTGTGCCCTTCATATGAAATTGCTTGGAGGCTGCAGCGAAGAAGAGGGACTTGGTGGCCCCCAGTCCAGCATGACTACTGACAGGATTCCTGTGGACCCACATAGGACTGAGGGGCCACAGACAACAGAAAAAAGGAGCCACTCAGAGGCCAGAAAGTCACTGCAAGGGACAGGAACATGGCCCGTCCTAAGGGAAGTGTTTGGAGAGCTGGAGGTGGGGGAGATGCCCCACCAGGGGAACACTGGGACACAGCATGGACAGCTGATCTGCCCTCCAATCACCACAGGCCCACTCAGTGGAGACTGGTCAGGAATACACATCTGCAGGGGTGCAGTTTGTTGAAAAGACTCAAGCCCAGACCAGTTTCCACACAACGCAGGTGTACCAGATCTCACAAGACCCAGAAGTACATACAAGGTCAACAACTAAAACCTGAGTTGCACAAAAAGCCTTCCCCAGAGAATCAGCAGTGAAGCAGCTATTTAGCTCAGCCACAAGGCTCAAATGCTAGTTCCCATAGGAAGTTCCCCCATTTTAGACGTAACCAAAAGATCGCAAATTAGTTCCAGTACAGAGTTTAAGTTGTGGGAACAGTGAATAATTCAACACAGAACTGAAAGAAAAAACAAAATATCCACAGATCAGAGACAAAGTTCCGATATTAACCAGTAAAGGTCTAACACCACCAAGGAAACCTATAAAACCTAGAAGAGCCACACCCCACCAATACCCACATCCAGTCCAGTGACAACCAAGTCTCTGCAGAAGCCCTCCAGGCTCCTGAACTGAGATGTGGGGTGCTGAGGGCCTCAGCCACATGCCCCCAACCTCCACAACCAGGCCAGCAAAGGAGCCAGCTGTGGGTCAGCCGTGCCCCACGACCCCCAGTCAGTCCCCCTACCCCCTCCCCTTTCTCCCTCTTACTGCTCCACAACATCTTAGAATGTAAAAATAATAATAATAATTAATTTTTTAGAAAGCTACATAGCAATGATCTGCTGATCAAATAAACTGTGAAGGATTATCCAGAGAGGTTACAGGAAACCCACAGGAGAATGGACTCCTAGAAGCCAAAAAATAGAGGATGGAAATTATCAGCGACTGACCTGCCTACTCCACTCTTTTGTCAAGTGAACCTTGCCTGTTATAACTTACTCTGGTGACTTCTTCTTTCCCTCAATCATGAAATACACAGAACAGTAACTATGATACTCCAAATTTCATGTGAAGCTCAAGCTATTACCTTTTGATATGAGTAGGTATTCAGATTTCTCTATAACAAAACAGAGGCTCATAAAGGCTAGCAGTCTATGAACTACTCAAAAGATAGAGCTCCTCATATCTCACAAATACTAAATCAAAAAGGTCTGTGTGCTAACATGCCCTGGGTCATTGCAGTGAATCAAATGGGCCCTGAAGAAGGTCTTAAATATTTGTGAGAAACAAGGTGACATCTGTCAGGCACTGTACAAACTCTCTCACTAAGTTATTTGGACCTAACTACTTAATAACCTGAAATGTTATGCATATTTTTTGGGCTAGGGCGCATGAATAAATTACTGAGTGACTATAGCCACGAACTGCGAAAGTTTGGTTGAAATAGGTAAATGATTGACCCCAGCAGACCAGTCACTCTCTCTGCTCCTCCTACTTGCCATCACTGCAGCTGTCAGCCTAAAAATATGACACCCCAAGAACACAGATTTTTTTCTTTATTACAGCTCTAAGGGAATTATTCCTGTTTAGAAATTATAAACAACCTGGAGCACCTGCCCGACCCCGGCCCGGAGCACCGAGCGTGGAGCGAGGGCCGAGGCGGGGCCGCGGGCTGGGCCCCCCCCACGATGAGCAGGGCATGTAGAGGAGCTCCCTTGTACTACGAATAAAGTCCATCCAATGTGTCGTGAAAACAAGTGATTGCTCAGTAATAATTTTTGTCGTTTTGAGGTTGCCTTTTCCCAGTGGGGAATTTCTTTCAGGAATGGGGAGTTGTACACTTTCAATGGATAATAACTTTAATAAGTACTGTTTTTTCACGGCTTACTCTGCCAGCTCCTGTGCTGAAAAATCATTTAATCCTCATAGTCAACCTACTAGATGGGTCCTACTCTTTTCTTTTTTTTCTTTTTTACGGCGGCTGGCTGTATGGGGATCTGAACTCTAGATAGGTACTATTCTTATCCCTGTTTTATAAATACAGAAATGGAGACTGACGTTCAAGTAACACCAGAATTCCATGATTCTGCAAGGCCATAGAATTTTGATCCAGAGTAAGGGAAGGTGTTGGGCCATTTAATTATAAGAGCCTCGGAAATAGAATTAAGATTTGAGTAAGCAGACACTGCCAGGAGAGGGTGGAAGTGGCCAGTGGAACATCTTTGTTCCAGATTTCTTCTCGAAGCGAAGAGTAGAGTCTCCTCTAAGAGAGGATAAGTGTAAACAGTAGAGTTGGATTGAGCACCATTGTCAGGATATAATGAGTCTCCTCTCCTCCTCCTAGAACTGAAGCTGAGTATACCAGCATAAAGTAGGTCCTTCCCTAACTCTTCTTTCTCCTGTCTTCAGGGAAAGGTAATTACTGGACTCTGGATCCAAATTGTGAGAAAATGTTTGACAATGGGAACTTCCGTCGGAAGAGAAAGCGCCGCTCTGAGGCCAGCAGCAGCTCCACAGTGGCTGCAGGGACATCAAATCGGAGGAAGGGCTGTCCTCAGGATTAGGGTCTGGAGTGGGTGGGAAGCCAGAAGGAGACAGCCCCTCCTCCTTGCTGAGGCCTGCCCAGTCCCCAGAGCCTCCTGAGGGCACCAAGAGTACTGCCTCATCTCCTGGAGGATCCGTGCTCACCTCCACCCCTTGCCTCAACACTTTCTTCAGCAGCCTCAGCACCTTAAGTGTCAGCAGCAGCGGGAGCACCCAGCGAGCTCTCCCTGGCAGCCGCCACCTAGGGATCCAGGGGACCCAGCTGCCCTCCAGCACATTCCCCCCCAGCTCCATCTCAGAGGCCTCACCAGACACCTTGCAGCTGAGTAACAGCAGCGGCAATAGCAGCAGCCAGAGATCTTCCTATTACAGCCCTTTCCCTGCCACCACCAGTGGGGGCCAAGGCAGCCCCTTCAGTAGCCCTTTCTACAACTTCAGCATGGTCAACAGCCTCATCTACCCCCGGGAGGGCTCTGAGGTGTAGACAGTGCTTCTCAGACTTTCCTCTGCACACCTGAGATCTGGTTAGAATGCAGATTCCAAGTCACTGAGTCCAAGGTAGGACCTGAGGTTCTGCATTTTTGTTGAGGTCCTGGCGATCTTGTAGTCTGTTGACCATACTTGGAATAACAAGGGTGTAGTAGGTAACTCTGCAACCCAGAAAGCTTTTACAGGTTTCTCAGGATACAGGCCTCTCTGGAGAGAAATCCATCTCACTCTGTTCTGGGATAGGTAGCCTGTGAGCTCTGTGAGGGCAGGGACCCTGTCTGTTTTGTTATAACTGTATACTGGGTCCCTAGCTCAAATGTGTACAGGCAGCTAAAAAACATAAGACAGTGAAGATATTGAGTGGGAAAACTAACAACAGTTGGCAACTGAAGCAGTAGGGAGTGGTCAGGACTGACCAGCTGAAGGCTGCTGTGAGCAGCTGGTTATCTCCTGCATGGCAGCATTCTGATTTTTCTAGAAAAGCCAGCTATCTGGATTTTTATAGAAAAACTCCAACTTTGTGTCCTTTGCCTTTAAAATTTTTAATCATACTGTACTAGAAAACATCACAAATCTTTGAGCTATATCCAGCTCACAAGTCACCTCTGTTCATACTCTATGTGGTAGATACTAATAGCAATAAAACCACAAGCTGCCTTGTTTGCCAGGCACCATTCTAGACAATTGACAAGTGTTAACTCATACCACCCCGAGTTTTCCGTATGAGAGAAGTGAAACTCCAAGATGTTAAGTAACTTGCCCAAGGTTACACAGATTGTAAATTGTAGAGCCAGGATCTGATCCAGGCAGTCTGGCTCCAGAGCTGTTGCTTGCGACTTCTGTGTTCTAGTTCCTGAAAAATAGAAGTCAGCTTCCACAGGCAGACATAAGTATATAGGTGGTAGGAATAGAGCTGGATCTCATTTGACCAAAGATCCTGGTTGAAATAAGTCATTTGTCATTTGAGATCTTCCCTGAGCAGCAAAGGTGGACACCACCTGCCTTACTCCTGCCATAGTCCAAGGTCTGGGGGACATTGTCCTAGTTTATGGTGTTTAGCCGGGTATCCTATCCCTTTTAGCTTATGTCCTGGATAATTCATTTTCTAACAAAGTATTAGAATTTTATTAAAAATAGTTTTGCTGATAACACCAAGATCAAGGGTTTGGATCCCAGTACTGGCCAGCTGCCAAAAAGAAAGTCTTTAAGTGGATTTTTTATAGTTTTTAATAAAACCATTTGTGGTCATTTAAAAATATATTTATATAAAACTATTTATTCTAGTGCCCCCTTTCACTTCCCAGAGGAATCTTCATTTGAATAACTTTTATGGTCACCCTCCCTGTGCCCAGCAGAGTGCCTAGTATGTGGAAAACACTCAGCCACTATTTTTTTCTAAGATAAATATTGTAGAACACTATTTGTCGAATGACAGAATTAATTCAAGGTGTTAATTAAAAATGCAGATAGGTGTTGAGTTTATGGGAACGGCATTCCATTAAGATGACAATGTCCTGAGTTGCCTTTGTACCATGTCTGATGTGAGTGTTGCTCATTTGAGGTTTTAATTTTTTTAGGATCAGGAACACAAGCGTTGTTTAAAAAAAAAAATTCCCTGTGTATTCTCTTTTGAGACTCTCACAGCATTACCTTTAAAAAAATGTTTTATTTTGAAATATACATACAGAAAATTATTTTTTAAACAGCTTACTGAGGTACAAATTACATAACTATTACTTTTTTAATATGCAGAAAGACAACCAAAGAGACTACCTATCTTCATACTGTGTATACAAAAGCCAATTTCTATGGATATTTTTGTATATGAAAAATTGTATGGACTTTTATAAATATTGTTTCTAACACAGTTCTATATTTGTAAATTAACTTATAATGTAAACCAGGGAAGTAAAGAAATTTTTTTCCCAAGAAAGTACAATGCATGCTGAGAAGAATCATGTGAAATAAACTTTAAGTGGGATCAAAAAAAAAAAAAAATTATAAACAACCTATGGGTTCAGTGAAATTAGGATTTATAATAGAAACAATCTAGATAGCATACTAAATTAAAATATTTCATTTCAAACCCATGACAAATATGAAAAAATCTAATTTATATTCAGAATATTTTCAGGTTTTATTTCTTTTGCTTTCATCCAAGCACTTCAAGGTTTTTAAAACAAGCAAACAAATAAAACCATGAGGTTAAAATCATAGGCTTATCCTGTTCGTGTCAATTAAATTTGATCAATTCTATGGCCAAAGAGCAAATTTCTAATTCTAGTTTTATACCTGTACTTGTCAGAATAGTCTTGGTTATGTTTCAGTGTGTTCCAAAAAGGCAAACTCTAAAATATCAGTGACTTAACTCAAAAAAGCTTTCTTCCTCACTTACATAGTCTGATGTGGTCTAGATGTCTCTTCCACTGTGTACCTACATCAGCTGAAACACCTGGTCTCCAAGGTCCTGAGTCAGGGAAAAGAGGAGATGCTGGAAACATAGTAGCTCTTAATTGCCCCAGCCCAGAAATAACACAGGTTACTGCCACTCACAGCCCATTGGCCAGAACTTGACACATGGCCACAAACTCTCTGCAAGGGATGCTGGGAAACATAGAGAACATGAAGATTTGGTGAACGTCTCTGCCACAATCCACTTGGTTATAGTGACATCAAGTTAAGATATGAATTTAGTAATTCACTTATTCACTTATTGAAAAATATTTTCGAGGACCTATTATGTGTCGGGTGTTGTGATTACATTATAGTAAGGAATGATAGACAATTAACAAGCTAGCAAATAAGAGCTGACTGGTTAGCTCAGTTGGTCAGAATACAGTGTTATAAAACCAAGGCCAGGGATTTAAATCCCTGTACCAGCCAACCACCAAAATAACCCCAAAAAGATGGCCTATTAGTGTATTATTAGTACATTTCTGTTGCTTATCACAAAATACCTGGAACTAGGTACTTCGTAAGAAAATGAAATTTATTGCTTATAGTTTCAGAGGCTGGAAGTCCAAAGTCCAAGGAACACATCTGGTGAAAGCTTTCTTCAGTAGTGACTTCAGTGACAGCAAAGTATCAAATTACAAAGTCAGGGAGCAGAGAGGAAGACTCCCCTCTCTCTTTTGAAGCCCTCAGAACCATGCCCCCAACCACCATTTTTAATCCATTCAATGCAGCATGGTCCTAAAATCCAGTCACCTCTTCAAGATCCCACCTTTCAATTACCATAATAGGATTTTCAACCCTCTTTACATTGTCGCACAGGGGAGTAAGTTTTGGGGGAGACATTCAACTCAAGGCATTCCACCCCAGCCCCCACAAACTCATGTCCTTTTCACATACAAATACATTCATTTCATCCCCCAAATCTTGGTTCAACTCAAAACTCCAAAATTCAAACTCTCATCTGTGAAATCGAAACAAGTTATCTATTGCCAAGATGCAATGGTGGGACAAACACAGGGTACATATTGCCATTGCCAAAGAGAGAAATAGGCCAAGAAAAAGGGGTAACAGGTCTCAAACAAGTCTGAAATCTAGCTGGGCCAGTATTCATTCTCAAAGCTAGTGAATCAGGTACCTTGACTCCATGTTCCATGTCCTCTGTGTGCTGGTGTTGGGGTTGGGTCCCCAAGTTCTTGAGCAGCTCTGCTCCTATGGCTTTCCTGGTCTCAGGTGATGCTTCAGCTCTCACAGGCTGGTGTTACACGCTGGTCACTCCACAGGTCTGGGGTCTCCATGGCAGTCCCACCCTCATGGTTCCACTGGGCATGGTGCTGTTGGGGTTTTTCTGCTGCAACTCCAACCCCATGTTTCCACTCAGCATTGCTCTAGTGAAGGCTATGCAGATAGCCTGCAACAGATCTCCTCCTGGGTCCTCAAGTTTTCCCATGCATCCTCTGATATTAGGGTGGAAGCTCCCAAGCCTCCACAGCTCTGGCATTCTGCCAGCCTGAAGACTTAACACCATGTGGATGCTGCCAAGGCTTTTCCAGCTTATATCTTCCAAAGTTGTGGGTCTAGCCACACCTGAGCCAATTTAGCCACAGCAGGAGCAGCCAAAGCAGCTGGGGTGCTGGTGCTGGAAGCAGCTTCCTGAAGTGGCCCTGAGCAGTGAGTCTGTGGGGGGGTGCCTCAGGACTGCTCCATAAGACCATTCTGTCTCCTTTTGGGCCTGAAATGGAAGGGTTGGCCCCAGAGGCTTCTGCAATGCCTTCAGGGCCTTTTTTTCCTTTTGATAATCCCTTTCTTTTGTACTAATCTTCTTAGTGTCATAGCATTTTTCTTCTGAAAATGCTCTCTGCTTCTCTACCACATGGCCAGGCTGCAAATTTTCCAAATCTTTATGCTCTGCTTCTGTTTTAAATTCTGGCTTTATGTCATGCCTTTGCTGCCATAACTCAGCATAAGCTGTTGCAAGTAGCCATGCAGCTTCCTAAATGCTTTGCTGCTTAGATAACTCTTCCATCAAATACTCTAGTTCACAACTCTTAAGTTCCAACTTCCACAAAGTCCTAGGGCACAGACACAATGCAGCCAAGTTCCTCGCCAGTTCACAGCAAGGTTTATCTTTACCCCAGTTTCAAAAAAGCTCCTTCTCATTTCTATCTGAGACCTTCTCCGAATGACCTTTACAGTCCGTATTTCTATCAGTACTCTTGTCACTACCCTTTAACCAATCTCTAAAACATTCCAAACTTTCCTTCGTTTTCTTGTCTTCTAAACTTTCACTAGCATGTAGGCTTTTTCTAGCCTGTTCCTCCAAATTCCTCCAGCCTCTTCTCAACACCAAGTTCCAAAGCTGCTTCCACATTTTTGAGTATTTGTCATAAGCAACACTCCACTTCTCTTGTACCAATTTGCTGTATTAGTCTGTTTCTGTTGCTTATAACAAAATATCTGGAACTGGGTACTTCGTAAGAAAATGAAATTTATTGCTTACAGCTTCAGAGGCTGGAAGTCCAAAGTCCTGGGAACACATCTGGT